CACCATTTGTTTTAATAAATTATGAGTTATTAAAATTCTTACGGCATATCTATTTAACCTTAAAAACCGGTGACTGAGGATGGACGTCCAGCAAGATCAACGCATAAGCAAATTATTACCTACAGTAAAGTGTTCAGATTGCGGAGTAACAGTAGAGTTTCGAAAGCTCGGTGAACATCTTTGTTCGGCCCCAGCGGTTCCAGAATTACCTGCCGCTTATAAGAACAGTAATATTAAAATAGGTAATTAACAACACATTGAAATTTTTTGGGCCATCAAGTTAAGAATTCATCTTTTTGTTTCTTAGGAAAGGAAGTACCTGGACAAAAAATCCAACCCAACCTCACCCCTCTGCTCGTTGATAGTATGCTTTCAATGTTTTTCTTCATTATTCGTCGTGTGATGAATTTTATTAATCAATTGTATCATTATGTCTAGACAATTTTTCATATAATTCTACCCCATCACCCACCGACTCCGAACATTCCAATTATTCCAATTATTCTAATAAATTCGCAAACCCAACTATTAATCCCGAAAAAAGCAAACCCGCTCGTTCATTCTTGCAAAAGTATCAGCAAGTTACCGGCAAACCAATAAATTCGCCTTCCTTCCAACCTCCACTTACACCCTCAAGTGACCGAGGCTATTCAGATATGCCGGATTTACAAGATAGACAAGTGAACAACCCTAATGGAAACGGAGTGTATTATAAAGATGCTGGCAACATGATGCAAAAAAATCAAGTATATGGAAACGGTTACCAAAACGATCGTGAACGACAACATGTGAGACCTTATGACCAGGGATACGGAAAACCCCCTTTTGAGAACACTAAACATCCATATAGAAATGTGGATCCTTACCGGGCTAATCAAATGCCACCCAGTAATAATTATTTAAATGATAATATGGAACGTGCTCAAGGAAAATATTACCGAAATCCTAATGACGGATATACCAATGGAGATTATATGCGCCGCGAAGAACCTCGCAGTCGTAGTCGTTCACCTGCACCAGGATACGATCGACAAAATTACCCTCAAATGCCACCTAATCACCCATATGGTGCACCGCAACCATTACGCCAAGCTCCTTATGACCGGTACGATGGTCAATTACCGTACGGCCATGACAACTATAGGCCACAAAATCCTCGTATGCCACCACCACAAGAAAAAAGTAGCGATCCTTCATTTCCAGTGCGTACACAGTCGCCACCTAGCTCCTATGTGTCAGATAACAATAATGGAAGTCACAAAAGTAATACTACGTCTTTTTCATCAACGGGTTCTAGCGCATCAGGAAAATACAATCGTAAAGTACT